GCCTAGGAAACCCGATGGGGGCAGTTCTACCCTGTAAGTCAGAATCCGTCTAAAAGCAAGCAGGGGCGGCAACAAATCTTTCTAGGAGCAGATCACCAGGTCTCTTCTCCTGCCGAGCTGCTGGGTGGGTGCAAACCACGGGTTAGTACTCAAGTGCTTAACCGCAGTGCCACCAGGTCTCCTCAACCACTCTCAGCCAACACCATGGTTACTCTCTGTGGTTCATATTCACCTTCCTCTTTTTTCTGCCAGCCATGTTTACTAAAAGGCGATCTCTTCCTCAACTACTGGACTGTGGCCCTTGGTCGAACATCAGCGGTCCAGTCCATGCTTTTGAAAATGGAAATTTCAAGAGGAGTACATAAAGATTGTCTCCATTCTATCACTTCTGGTAGTCCTATTGGGCTTCTGCCTTCTTCATTTCAAAGAAACCACGCTTAGCCTTTCCCAACTTTCCCAGTACCACATTTCCCTTTGGGCGCCATCTTCGAAACGTCCACAGTCACCTTTCTAGATTCATTCTGAACTTAGCCTGTTAACCTTCCTTTTCATCCATTTCCTCTAATCATCTTGGAAATGTTAAATAAAATTCATTAATAAATTATGGTATATCCACCTGACAGTGCTATTGAAAGCAATATTTCTAGGTACAGAAATGTAATTATTAATGTGAAAATACGTATTAATAAGTAAAACAAGCAAGTTATAATAATGTATGCATGGTATTAGCCACTCTTTCCCCCCTAGTGTGCCAAAACAAACTTTCTATGTTTATAAGAGAGCCTCTATTACCTACTACTTTTAAGGGAAAAGATGAGAAGAAATATAGCAAATACCAGCAATTCTTTCTCAGTAAAGGTTCTGTGGGTGGTATTTTACTTTATTCTTTTGTTTATGTATATTTTTTTATTTTTGAAATAAACATGATTTGTACTATACAATGTCTGAGAAAGCACACGTGTGGTACCCTATGAATGCCCTTGACCTACATCTCCAGGTTTATTATTCTTCACTTCCAACAGCCACATGGGAACAGTGTAATACTCAGACTCAAAGACTTAATCCTTCAATATTAGACAGTCCAGCATGAATTCACAAGTCACTTCTTGGCTTCATTTGCAAACATCATGCATTCACCAAAAGTGTATTGAATATACGAGGGGGTACCCTCCCCCACAAAATGGAAAAAAGCTCCGCTAGGTGGAGCTTTCATAGTACGCATTTCTCCCACTAGGTGAGCATCGATCAACTAGCTCTGAGTTGGTGCACCCTGGGAAGGTTCCCTCT